CCTTAAATTAAACATCACCAAATGGTGCACAGAACGACTATTTGACGTATTTTGTAAAAAGGCAAAAACTTAGCTAGTAATATCCTAATACCATTCGATAGGTAATTAAAAATTTCATTTACTGGTAAGTTAAAAAATATGGTTTTTAAATTAATCAAGTTAGAACCACTTAAAGTTCTTATTTGATTAGTTTAAATTTGTGGACACCCTGTATAACATGGTAACTTTATTATCATTTGGAATATAAAATATTATATTTTGTTGCACTTCACTATAAATTACGCTTACATAACTTAAATACTTCGAAAGTATTTGACACGTGAAAATTAGATTATATTTTGATTAAATTCGTATTATTTAAAAAACCGTAAGATTTAGGTATTATGAACCTTATTAAAACAGACACTTATTTTCTTCAGCGAATCCAAAAATGCAATAATATACAGGACATTCCATTTAGAAAACCGCAACTTTGATACCGTTAGAGCCTTTGGGACACCCTGTACATTACAAAAATATTTTTTAAATGTGCGCTCGGTAGGCGTCGGACAACTCGGAAAATAATACTTTTTAAAAATCAAACGGTTTAGCCGCGAACTTCCGTGCCGTATAGCGTGAATAACCCTGTATAATAAAAATATGTATAGCAAATAAGCAGATACTTACTTTTTCCGGCACTGCAGTCTCGCCATGTGGTGGACACTTGTACTGTTATCTATTGTTCTATTAAATTCTGTGTTTGAACAGAGTCTCGCATATTTGTGACTACCTACCAAGTGAATGATGCTACCTGCGTACGTTGATAGGTAAATCCAAACCAAAATTTTAATTCATTATGAAAACCAGCAAATTTTTCGTTTCACGTCTACGTGGACCCCCGTGTGGTCTCCTATGGACCCCTGGGGGTCCACCTGGACCACTTTGGGAACCTATGCTCTAGGTGATAGTTCTTAATTAGGTTTTGATAAATAATTCGTTCTTATTGCGAAATAAGAGCACTATTTATAAATCTGTAATAAAAGACGTGAGGTAATTCTGTCTTTTTTAAAGACAAAAGTTTTTGAGGGGAAATACCCAACAAGTAATTTGTAAAAAAATTAAAAATGTATTTGTCCGTTTTATAAAAGCAGTATTAGAAATTACAAACCATATAGCAAATTTTCAGTATAACGTTTTCAATAACAAAATCAACTGGTTTTGGCAAAACTTCCCGCATTGGCAAATTTTAGCTTGTAGGGTAAAACCATTACTGTCAAATAAACGACATGACATTCTACAACCGTCTGCGCTTCCAGATGTGTTCACGAACAAATGGCACCAAATGAACTCCCGAAAATGCCGGAACTAAATGGTCGACGACGGCAATTTTGCCTCAACTTAAACCCTTTGTCCAGCTCCGAGCCATATTAAAACTCGTGCTGGCAGGAAGAGTTTCATGTAATTTTTTGTTCAATATCCCAGTTTTTTTAGTTTAATTCATAACCACGGCGTGAAAAATGTACATTATAGCCCAGTGAAAAAATGATACTTGGTCATCTTTTTTAGCCACATGAAAAATGGACGTCCTACTTGAGTGAGGTTCTTATCTTTCCAGAAATTCATCATTGTGACATTTTTCCCCGTTCTTAAAGACAGAATTTCAATAGGGGATTTGAACATTATGCGCTAAATCTCGCGGCTTAAATTGAAGCCCAACATTGGCCTAGATATAGCGCGATCTAAGCTCACGTGCAACCACATTGCCTTTGCCAAATAGTCGATATATTTTATTGAAACGGAAATTTAGAAGAAAGTGGGCCAGACACCCTAGAGAACAGCAATAGTAATATGGATCGATAGCAGGAAGGGCCACCGGAGTAACCCTATCGTGCAGTTTATGCAACTACTGTTGGCATTCGTGTGGTTTAGTTGGAGCCCAACTGTAAACCTGTGTTTACTAATTAAAGAAATAAAGGGTTGCACATTAAAATATTAAAAAATATATGTGTATATTTCGGAGCAAGTTTATGTGTAAGTGATCATAACTATAAAACTTAGCACTTCTAAGTTATTCGGCAATAAAAATACGAAATATGAATATTTCTGCTAACCAAGTTGATGCTGGCTTAAAATGGCCAATTTCACACTTATGTACACACTATCTTTTCAAAAATTACGACTTTCAGTTGAGACCAAGTGGAAATTTTTAATTCTCGCTATCTATTTTTATATTTTTGCCAACGACGTCGATTGACGGCAGTTGGCTAATAATGAAAATCAAATATACTCTATCGGTAGTACATGTCCATTGCACCGATAGTTAAGAGGAAGCTCATCAATTGCTTAAGAACTAAACCTTCTTAAAAAACGAAAGTAAGTAATGACAGATAGTATTGACACACTGATGCTTAATGAAAACTTTCAGTCAGTTCTGTTTCCCAAATATTTCCAGTATAATACCTTCTGACCATTTTAATTTTTTTTTGACAATTTTAAGCTAAAATCGGTAGCCAATTTCTTCTTAAAAATTTAAATGCAGCATCAAACTACACGTGAATATTCAAAGCATTAACTAGTCGCATCCGCATTCTAAATATCTAACTAATGAAATGAAAAGAGTTCTGAACAGAGTGTGTTTAACAAACTTTGTTTTTATTGAGTAAGTCTGCTGAGTAGCATTTTTAATAGCAAAGCTGTGGTGAGCTGAAATAAATACAATATTTGACTTGTTCTGCCTTCCCTAAATATTATTTAAATTTAGTTAAATTCCTGTCTTTTGAAAGATATATTGCCCGTTAATTAAAGGTCGACTTTCGCCAATCAGCTGCTCAATTTGTGTTGCATAAACAACCACTATGAGTAAACACTGATTTAAGTTAATTGTCAAATTATCTTTTGAACAAAGTCAAATGGCTTCAATTTAGGTAAAAATTATGCAACATGGAAAAAATATAAATAAATATTTTCTCCCACATACTTTCTGAAAATACGCTATTTTGCAATAGGGACAATTAATAAGCTTTTAATTTCAGTAATTAAAATATAAAATTAAATTAGTATTCATAGCAGATGTGATGATGGAGCGCACCAGTATTTTATCCTGGTCGAATATTTCCCATCCATGGGTTACCTATAACCGCCATAATATTTTTTTTCAATATGAAGACGGAGAAAACCTTTATGACAAGAAATGGAAGACAGTTTTATGATCTCGTTAAAATCTGCCCTGCGAGGAAGTTAATGGTTATTATTTTTAGTGACCTTTGATACAAAATAACTTTCATTAAAACTATTAATTGTATAACGTTAATGTTTGCGACTTCGTTTAGGTCCGTTGAGTTCGCCGGATAACTAATGGCCTTCTGGAAAAGAAGAATGACTGTTTCTATCTGCTCCTTATTTTACACTGGTAATGGTGCTAATTTAATAGATCTTTTCTTTCTCCTTGCTGGACATTGCAATTACCAGTAAACTATAACAAATCCGCAAAACTATAGAAGATATCCTTGAAACCCGCTTCAAATAATATGAACGTTTATTTTAGCCACGTTTTCAACTTAAGACGGATTTTTTTCCAAACTCACTGTGCTGAAAATTTACGAATTCAGGCAACGATTACTAAACTTCTATTCCATATTTGCAGTTCGCCTTTTAAAAGCATGGAGCCAAGTTACGAAATATACGTTTGAAATATTTACAAATATAAAGTGGACCCGCTTGCACACTGGTTAAAGTTTGTTTTCGTAGCTGTTAGTGGCACGCTTTGCATTTTGAAAAATGTTCATTGTCATGCCAATATCGTACAAGCGATAAGTTATGGGAGTAAACTCCGATTTCCTTGAAAATAATTCATTATTTACATCTGTAAATTTTCAATTGTCCTGCATTTATTTATTAGCAACAGTTAATACTGAAATTCTAATGACTTGTAATGAATAACACAGATATTCCTACTGCTTTCAGTTAAAAACCATAATTTTGTATACATTTAAGAATATCTTCCATTTTGATAAAGTTTTATATGAATGTAGGTACCATATCACAAGCAATAAAACCTAAAATCCTTTAAAAACATCAGATTTGGCAGCGCAACTATAACGTTGAATTTTCATTGCAAAATTTATCTGTTGAGTATTAGACACTTGCAGTAAAAACGTACCAACTCTACAAATATTGAGGAATATTATTGGTTCAAAAATCGAGAACAAGTATTACAACTTAGTGGCTTCAATCTTAACGTAACACCGTGTAGAACAATAATTTTGCGATAGGAAATTTAGATTGGCGCAGTGATTATCGTTTGTCTGTGGTGCCTGATTAAGTTTTAATATTTAAGTTTTTTTCAGGACAAGATCAGACAATTGCAATAACACATGTATACATTTACTATTATAGTATAATAGCACATGTAACGAAAATATTCGACAAATCAAACTTGAAGGGCAGAAATCCCAATGCGGTCCATTGCCTTATGCGTATGTTTAGATAAACATTTTAAACTTCAATAGTATTATAGCTGCCCCGAATTTAAAGACGGTGACTGCAACTCAATTAAAATAATCTTTGATCCGACTTTTTCCTCTTTGTTTCAATAACCGTTTTTGCCGGAAACTTTTGAAAAACCATTTATTTTTTCTTAATTTTCTCTATTCAGAACAGAATATTTTGTGGCCACGCTGAGAGCATGATTTAAGAAAAAATCTTGCAAACTCAAGCTCTAGTGCTGTATATAATTAAATCCCAAAACTGTTGCCAAACGTATACATTGCAGGCCAACGGCACGTCGGCAACATTGTGGCTGTGGGCGTAAAAATGTACCCTTCGACAAAAAGTCGGTCGACGTAGCACCGTTAGAATCAAATTTCGCTCCCCTTCTATTCTCTCTAAAATAGTTGCTTACAAATCACATTCGTGTTTTGTACAATTGGTTTACAGCAGCTCGTCGAGCCCGATAGATTGACACCATTGTCAATGGTCTGTCAAACAAAAATGTCAAAATTGACAGTTGGCGTGATTTGACACACAGCATCCGTAAATGTGGTCCGTCAGATGACAACTCTAAATTATGAATGATCTGCGACTTTTCGTGTCGAAGAAAAACGATAAAAATCGTTTTTCTGAAACTCTGAAATGCCGGTGTCAAAGTAAACGTCATAGTTGGAAAGACATTGTTCTTTCAGTCAATTTTTATTACTAACTTTCAAATCGATTGATATTTCGGTTACGATGCTATAAATTAAAGAATGCCAAAATGTCGATTTTGCATCGAATGTTTTTCGAATTTTCATAAGACAAACGATAAGTTTGAGTGAGGTTATGGTCTTTACATGATTTGGCCACAACAAAGTACCTAACACAATAGTAATAAGTAAACGTACAAATTTTATAAACATTTTGTATAGAATGGCAAAGATACCAGCCCCAGAATAATATGTAATTTCAGCCCATTTTGCCACGGCAACTTCTGTCAAATTTGACACTGACAGATGGTGGAGAAGACAATTTCCTACATTTAATAAATGTAAACCACGGGGCTAAAACGTCAAATAAAAAATCGCCACCGTCGGCCTGACCTAGCTCACGATCCCAAATCAACAAAATAAGTGTATTTGGCACGAACCAAACTGGTCCTTCGATTATATATTTTTTATTAGAAATTTTTGTGTGTTCACTCCACCGACCATAAAGCCTGCAGTGCGCCTGTGGAAACAAATAAATTTAATCCACTAAAATTGCTCCACCTGATCGGGCACTTCGTCCCCAAAAACTGTCAATTAAAACATACATTTTTATTGGACTTTTTGGACTTGGATTTTTTTATTAATTTTATTTAAGAAAGTTTTTAATGCGTGGTCACAACTATAAAAGCCTCAAAATATTCCAGATTTTCGATTTCATCGCTGTGGTTAAAATAAAAGTGTTAAAAATATCTATGACAAAATTGATATTGGTCGACATGGTCAGTCATAAAAGTCATATTCCTTGGTATCACTGAGCTATAAGGTGTTTCAAGGTTCGAGAGCTCCTAAGAATGTCCTTTTTGCTGAAATATTGTATGCCTGACGAAACTTCATGAGTAAACGCATAATTCTCGAAAAACGTGATCGTTCGATCGATGTTGAAATGATGACATTTTCGCTTCGAGTTAATAGCAAATTCGAATTGTCTGGAAAAACTTAATTGGTCGAACAGAGCCCCTAGGACATTAGGGGATAAGACGTTTTTAACATTTTAGGTGCATCCATGTAGGTATTTAGAATATTACTCCGAATCCGCATATCATCGATCAGCAAGAGTTCTCCAAAAATACTTTGATCCTTTATGTAAGCCGAAAACTTACCGAATGAAGAAAATCTATCAGACCTTATAAACTTTTATTCCAAAAGTATTACGTATTCAACTGACAAATCCCTACTTTGGGTCCAAACTAAATAAAAAAGTTCGTATCGTATAAACCTTTCTTGAAATATATCGATAAGTAAATACATTTACTAGATGCGTTTCCATCCAAATATCCATCATCGTTTACAGATGAAGCGTTTGATGGATGTTTTCAACTAAAATCCGTTATGTATTGGCAACGTTATTTATATAAATTGCTTGTCAGAAAATATCACTTTAATGGCTTGGCATTGTACAGATTACTTGAGTTGGTATAAGTTCAATTTCGCTTTATAACAGCGATCATAATTCGTTTTTTGGTTAATAGATAACCAGAAATTACAAAATCATTTTCGCATTATTGCAAAATGTATGTGAAGAGCAGAGCTCCAACTGAACATGGGACAACGATTCGCATTTTTAAATGTACATTCCGGGTGATTAATGTTCGGAAAGTCCAAATGAATGGATTTCGGGCTGAATAAATTATCATACATTGTTTAAAATTTAATTTTGAATTTGCCACCAGCGTGAATGTTAGCATTGGTTTGCAATATGATTTTCGAGTGACCCCTAGTTAACTTTTCAACTATTGAAAATTGATTATACGCTGATATAGAGATTAATAGCATTATTAAACACAATATGCCATTACTGGGAACGTGCATGTAATAATTAGGTAAAACCTTATCATATGGTCATTTTCTGTCAACTGAATCAGGTTTAAATATTTAGGAAACGAACCATTCCTGATGAAAATTAGACTTTAAGTCTCTTAGATACGTAACCAAAACGTAAAAACTGCCTAAAATCACTAAAATAAAGAAGATGTGATTTTACAAATATTCTCTGGAATTTATCAGTGTCCTATCATATTTTTAGTAATTTGGTTTGGAATAAAAATTGCGTCCTAGATTTACATATATTTCTTTGAGTCAGCACTCAAGTGTCCAATACAATACTGAGTCAGCATCCAATACAGGATGTCAAAC